TTATCTTTTGTGATTCTGACAGTGTCAGACATATGAAGAAGCCCAATAATTATGCACATATTGCTTACAACTTCTGCCACCAAACAATTTAATATTTTTTATTGGTGTTGGTTTGTCAATTTGGTAACAAACAAGACGTCTCAATTTTTTTTTTTTCACAAATTTTGATGAAATTTTCAGTCTAGACATTTATTCAGGAAGGAAAGAAGTGATTACAATTTTAACTGAATCCAGTTATGCACATATTTTCAGAAGAATTGTTATTCTTTGGCACTGTACTCTTGGGGATGTTTTCTAGCATTAATACTCTACTATTTCAGCATATGAATTGACTGGCCTGTCAAGAGGTGGCCAACAGATTGACAAGTTGAAGAAGAACTATGCCAAGGCTGTAGAACTTCTGGTGGAGCTGGCTTCTTTACAAACCTCATTTGTGACCTTGGATGAGGTCATCAAGATTACAAATAGAAGAGTCAATGCCATAGAGCATGGTAGGTAGTTGACGCTGAAATTTGAAAAGAATATGTTTCCACTGTTATGACATCTTTATCTGTCGAATTGACTGCATGTTTATGTGATGTTTCTTCTTAGATTAATCCCCAAACTCGCTCACTCGATAAGTTAGTTTATTGTTTTTATTCATGAATATTCCTTCATCCTAATATTTATTTATTTACATACTTTTATAAACATATGGAAAGTGAAGGCTGGTATTATGGTTATATGGGTCTCAGGTAAAGTTAAGAAAATTAGCAGAGTCTGAGTAGTTATATGGTTCAACGGTGTGTCTTGATGTGTCTCCTTTTAATTTTCTGACTTTTCTTCCAGTGATCATTCCCAGGATAGAAAAGACCTTGGCATATATTACCACAGAGCTAGATGAAAGAGAAAGGGAAGAATTTTACAGGTAAATTTAATCCTAGACTGAAAATGCATTACTAGGGGTTATTTGTTTCATGTGAACATTTAAAAAATGATGAAAATTGGGTCATCAGTAGTTTTCTTTCTTTTTTTCTTCGGGATAGTGGGGGATGAATGTACCCAGGTTTCTTTTCCAAATCTCAATTCTTTTGTGCTGTTAATTTTTTATGGTGAGAAATTGATTTTCATTGTTATCTTATGAGATTTTTACATTTTTAGACTAAAGAAGATTCAAGAAAAGAAAAAGATATTGAAAGACCAAGCTGAGAAGAAAAAGAAGAAATTGCAAGCTGAAGGCTTGATGACTGACTCTCAACCAAATTTGCTGGATAACGAAGAAGATACTGATTTGTTATTTACTGATTAGCAAACAATACTTGGCAGTTAACAAAGTTCAGCTGAAACAGAGTGTAAGAAATATTTATGCGTAATACGTAGTTTATAAATAACGGACCAGTGCACGGGTTAAATACTACATACCATTTTCTATGTTATTCATTAGTGATGGTTCCCTAAATTCAAGATCTTTCGTGTGTCGATATTCTACACTGAGGACTTAAAATTCCCGTCTGATCTTCTATTAAGACCATGTTTACTAAGCAGTATAAGCTAGACATGCTCAAGGCGTTTTCCCACTGTAAAAAATGTGTTTTCAGAAGCATCTTTCTGCCAGGGATGCTCATTTTGAATTAGCAAACAATATGACATCCTGACATGGATTCATTAGATATAATTTTATATGTGTATTGCATTATAAACCTGTCAACGAGAAGGGATTATTAATATTGTTGTTATTATTAATATATAGATATGTTAATTGACTATGGAAACTGCCAATGACATTATACCGAGTTGTATTGGAAATGTTGTCTTTGGTAACAATCACATCATCTCTGGGTTTTGTGATTTGTAGTGACGTTCCTGCTTGACGTCTTTATTTGTTGAAAGTGCAATAATCGCGAATCACCGTTATGTCACAAGTGCAGTAATATTTTCATTACAAGGGTGAGGGCAGCGTTAGCTTCGTATCAATATACGTTAGAAAGTTGAGAAACTGTCTTCTTTAAAGAAGCGGTGTTGTCAGCGGTGGATATTTGTTTGAAAAATATTCATGTAAAAGAAGCCGAAAAATTCTCACTAAGAATTTGTTAGCTTTTGTAGTTACAAAGAAGGAATTGTAAATAAAATAGATAATTAAGAAAACGTGCATGTTATTCAGTCACTGAAACAGTACACGCACTGAGCCAGACAGAAAACGATAGCAGCCGGTCTGTTTTAAGATTCCATTATATTAACGCGTGGGTGTGACAAAGCGAGACGACTATAGTTAGCTACATCTGCTAAGATTAAAGAGTTATCGATTTGCATGAAACCTTCGTATGAGCGAGTTGAGACTGAGATGATCACCAATCGATACATGTCCTTTAGCTGTTAAATGCTAAGAAAATGAAGGTTATGTTAAGATTATGTGATATTAAAATACCATGGAGGTAAATATTGTTCCTTATCTGAGCGCTTAGAAATATTAGGGAGGGCAAGTATGCTTGCACCTTGTCCATGGAGTTGTGCTATCTCATGCCATTAAATTCTTTTGGTGGCACAAACTTACACCGTGTTATCTCCAGCTGTTCGTTTAACTGAAGGTGAATATTTTATGTGTGTTTGCGCGCTGGTGTTTGTATAAATGTTTATCTGGATTCCGTGCCAAAACGGTCGCGATAAACCCTAAGCAGGAACAAGTTGTAACTGTGTTTCGAAATATTGATTGGTTGACGAGGCGTTAGTTAACGGTGCTATTGAGCTCGTGTTAGTCTGTTTCCTGTTATTGTGGCGATGACATGAGGTATTTTTGTCTGATCAGGGTTTTATAACCAGGTTAGTGATGCGCTGACGTCACTTTGCGTGGGCAAACTTATGAATGAACCGCAATACTCCAGCTGACATTTTACGCACGAGGCTTCTCATGAATGGCTGGCAACAGCTGGCGAAGAATGGGAAGTGAACAGAAAAAAGTAGAAATACACTGCAGAGATTTTATCTTTCTTTAGAATATTCAACAGAGTCGTGGAATGTATGACTGAGAAAAATGACGCGCAAGCGATCCACGTTAGGAGGGTCAGTTGACGTCGAAACAACCGTTGGACGTGACGTGAACGGAAACACAGCGGGAGTGCAGAGCTCGACATCAAACTCATGGTTGTCTCTTCCTGACGAACTGTGGGCAAGAATATTCATATATCTCAAGCCTGTTGAAGACCAGCTGCCACGCCTCGGGACAGTTTGTTCTAAATGGAGACGAGTTTTACAGAATACGCCCTTCCTGTGGCGTACAGTTCACATTGATCCCGTTGGGTTCGAGCCCTGGCAGTATGGCATGGTGTCTACCATTCTTACGGTATATGGGAAACATATTCAGAAACTCACGTGGCGCGACAGCGCCCCAGTGTACGAAGCTATATTTGTCTTAATCACCAAGTTACCTGCCCTGAAGACGCTACGCCTACCCATTCTATGGACAGAAAGAGTTGTTAATAGCCTTTCACGGCTGTCTACTCTGGAGGCCATTCAAATTAACGGAGGCTACGTCTTAAAAGATTCAGATTTAGAATTACTGGTGAAGTCGTATCGTCAGTTAAAAAGCGTCTCTCTAAATGCTTGTTGGGGTTTAACTGCACGCGGAGTGTTAAATTTTCTGCAGAACCTATCAAGTCTTGAAGTCGTGAAATTGAAAGTGAATTCCAACCTGCAGCTGAACCACCATAGAAGTGAAAGTGCCATGATGGCGGGGTTACGGACTGTCCAGGGTGTGTCGGACTCCAGATTGGCCGGACTGGTCACTGTCCTTTGTATTCACTTCGTGCCCATCGAGATGGAGGAGCTTTGGGGCGTTATCAATAATCTGACTAACCTGAAGAAGCTCAGTGTCAGTAATTGTGAGGTAAGTTTTCACCCGTTTTTTATATGTTGGACAACGAAAGACGCATTAGAGGGACGAGGGAATGGCAACAGGGGATTTTCTCCCTTCTAAATAATTTGTCAAACAAACGAAAAAATGATTTGCATGTAAAACGGATGCTCCACCCTTTTGACATACTTGAAACACGATCCAGTACCGGTGTGTTAGGTAAGACTGAAGAACTTAAAAAGAGCCTCTAGTTCAGGGTGCATTTACGTTCTTTCGCGGTAATATGTGGGTTTTCTGTGTAGTTAATCTTGGTTAAGATATATCATTGATTTTTCATTTACCTGATTTCATAGACCCGGTGTAACGAAACTAAAGGTCCGTGTAACGGAGAGTCCGCCCTCCATGTAGTTATTATGGTTAGGGTTAGCCTGACCTAGGTGGGTCAAAATCTAGGGCGAGGCTTATCTGTACAAATGAATGGGAAGCGGACTCTGTCATGGGGGACTCTCTGTCACGTTACACCGGCGTTATAAAAAAGAGGCTCATTGTAGCAGAGAGTCCGCCCTACAGTAGAATCATCACACAGGTTATGGTTAGCGTGGCGTAATGAAGTGGGTTGAAATCTAGTCTCACAGGGGACTCTCTCGCACATGACACCGTCAGTACCACAAGTAACACTACCATTTAACCGCAAAAACTGGCGTCAAGGAAAGGAAAATACCTTTGAGTCCTGGGTAGCATCCGTAGCGTGAGCTTTTATCATTCTTCAAATATGCATGTTTGAAAGGTACTGACTGTTTGGTTTCATCGTGTTTTAGTGAAGTAAAATTGCAACTTAAAAACAATGCAATATATTACAGAATTGGGCCTGTGGAAAGACGTTTTGACAGACGTCTAAACTGACTGACCAATCGCCCACCTGACCGGCCAATGGTCCAAAACTATCATACTTAAACACCAATAAGCACAATATTAACAATGTCCTTAGTTCATTTTTTTTTTCATTTCAGAGACTTCATGGTATCCGCCTTGTCTCCAACTCCCTACAGAAACTCTACCTCTACAACTTATGGAACGTGTCATTTGTCAGCGTCACTGGTTTCAACCTACGTTCTGCCGTCTTAGACTACGGTATGGAGTCACTTGAACACTTAGAGATACTAGCGCCAACGCTACGTCGTCTTCAAGTAGACGGCAGCGGATCTTTACGCACACTTAACGTCAAGAGCGACAGATTAGCGGTCGCAGAGCTCAGCCACTGTGATAAACTCGAAGCTGATTCTCTACGGACTATGTTGGGAAACAATGAGACTTTGGTGTGCCTGAGGCTAGGTAAAATCTCGGGGTCGTCTTTACACTTAGACGAAGTATCCTGCCCATACTTACAAGAGATCTGTTTACTCAGTGATTTTTCATGCAGCACGCTGCATATACGAGGACCATCTTTACGTTTGCTGCATGCTGATACTGAAAACGATCTCGGCTATCTGCAGCACTTATACGTGGTGGCGAATCACCTGTGTAAAGTCTCTCTCCACGACGTACCAGCATTGCGAACCTTTACTATACAGTGTGTCAGTGTTGACTGTATAGACGTCAATATTTGCAGTGACGTGCAGCTGTGTCTGAACTCCTGCATTATTCAGGCTTGTGGCTCTATAGGTCTTCTGCGTCTTTTCGACTGTGCGTTAGATCTATTGGCAGTGTGCACGCCCGTTGCCAGCACGATTGTGCTCTACCGCTGCCAGCTTACTGACTACGTCCTACAGATGGCGCTACAGGGTTGCAGCAATATATCTTACTTGAATTTAGAGAAATGTCTAGCTCTAAGAAAACTTTCCATTGAGTCGCCTTCCATGAAATACGTCAATCTTTACGAGTGCCATGATGTCCAACAACTTAACATGAAATGCCCCCAACTGTGTGCCTTAAATTTGGGACATTGTAACAGAGAGATACGCGTTATACTGAATGAAAAGGAACTGGACTTCATCAGGTTAAATCCGCTCACCGCCCACCCCAGGATCGTTCCCCCTCTCCAGAGCATCCGGTGGACACACGATATACCTCCTCATGACTGCCAACTGTAATGATCTGACAGAACCTAGTTACGTGTCAACACTGACAAACTTTTAGACATCCTAAAACCTGACAGAACCTACCCCAGATATCCCATTAATGGGGTTGATTTGTATCGTATTCACACATCTCTTTCAAGTAAAAGCAGAACATCAGTACAGCAAAATTATTATCCGCGTATAAGGGTAATATTGCATGAAATATGAAATTTGAGCCTGTTTGAAATCATCCAGTGATCATGCATTTTCCTCCTAAGGTAAATATCTGGGTATCTGCGTTATACGGTTGCGTCACAGTGTCAGAATGGCATGGTTCAAGTCATTTCTCATCTCCACCGACAATCACTAAAATTGTACATTAAATAGTGTATTAAAGCTAATAATACGCATTAGGCCTCTAAATAGCATTATGTATGTAATAAATCTCCAGCCATGGAAATTATTTCCTATGAGTGGGTGTTGTTGTATACGGTGAAAGATCTTCAATTATATTGTGTACTGTTCATGTAAGCACGCAGCCCATGTGCCGCAGTTCGTTATAATGGAATATTGATAAACTGCATACACCATCAAGTTACATAAATGAATTTTGTCTAGTTTTCCTTTTCTACCACATACATTTATTATGTTGCTGCACACAATAATCTAGAACGTGTGTCATTTGTCCTCCTTTTTTCTATTCAGATGGCGTCTGCCAGATAAAACTATCGCTTAGCTTTATCATGTGACATTTAAATGTTTATCCATTTTTCAAGAGCACTAAATTTACAAAACTAACGGGTACTGATTCTATAAAACATCCGCACGCGGCAAAACGTGGTATTAATTGTTGCCATCTCTTCTTTTGCTCAAATTAAAAGATAACGTGATCTAACATTTATTGTAAGCAAATGTTTTGTTTTTCTTTTTAACTATGCTGTTTGTAGCGGCCGACAATTCCAGAAAAACAAAATAATTATGTGCCAGAGAAATGCCTAGAAAGGTATAAAGTGAAATCAATCTGACCTTATTGTAATATTGACAGCGAAAATATCGAAGGTACACGAACGGAAGGGGTGTTACATATCTAGAACATATAGAATGGAGCCCATTACCCTTTGTTGAGAGTATCTGAGGACTCATTCCCAATAAACTACCGGTCTACGTAGATCGATCCAACTCCAAGGGGACTCTAGCTGAATGCAATCAGATTAACACGCCTCTTCTTGTTTCCAACGTACTTATATAATCAAGAGCTTTCCTATATTCTACTCAACTCCAGGAGGTGGCATGTTAACTGTTAATCTGATTGCATTCAGCGAGTGTCCCCGCAGAGCTGGATTGATCTAAGTAGAACGATAGTTTCATTGGGAATGAGCCCGAGGCGTTCTTTTTCAGCAGATGTCCGTAGAGTTTCTAAAACACACAGTTCGTCACAAAAGAAACTGAGATAATTATGGAAAAAAACAAAAAAAAAAAAACAAAAAAAAAAAAAAAACGATAGAAACCGGAGGTTAACAAGAATGTAAACCCTGCAGCCAAGCAGTCTACTACACTTTGCACACAGGTAAAATTGCCAAGCTGTAATCCATTATATAACATCTATAAAATCTAAATTGTAATTGTACAATAAGCAACGCGATAATTCAGATGAAGAGTCTTCTTCACTGTAAGTTGAGACCACTAGTTGGTCACGTTGAGGGCTTCCATTTTGGTCGTTTCACAGCTGAAGGACCTCCGAGCCTGCTCTGTGTCATTTCGCAGTTAGGTACGCCACACGGTTTTGTTCAAAGCTGACATAATTTAGATACTTTTTGAAATTAAAAAGGACCAAACCTTAGTCTACATATACATTCATACATGTACGCTGTGGACTATATTATAAGGAGCAGACGTCCGTATCTTAACTGAAAATTATTCAATTTGTCCTAAAATAGGACGATAGTCTAGATCTGCGTATTGTGTATTTTCTACCAGCTGTTGTGGCTCCATAAAGCCCATAAACACGTCTTCAGAAATAAATTGCAACACTTCAGATTAAAATTCACAAAATGACAGCAGTTTTTGTACACACGCGGCATGTGTATATATATAAGTCCAACCCTATTCTTTGGTGCAGATAGCGGTATTTCCTGCTTCAACCAGGAATCATGCTGACGTTGACAGTTCTTGTGCTTTTGGCTGTGACTGCCACTCCGGGTAAGTTTTGATATTTTTTAAAAATATGGCAACAAATTATCTGCTGATAACCTGAATGTTAATACAAGAACACATTTTGAAAAACCTTACATAGTACTTTGATTTACTGAAAATATAAAATGCAAGGAAAAATGCCAAAATTCATAAAACTGTCGTTTTGATTCTAGGATAAAAGAATATGTTTCTGCCACAAAATGTATCACAATTAGTTTTTCAGTTTCAAAGATGACTCAATTTGGCACATTTTTTATTCAGTTTATCATATAATTGTCCGCACTGCTCTTCTTTTCTGGTTCATAGAACCTCCATTGAATTGATTTAAATGATTATGTGCATGGTGCTTTTCTTCTGAAGGTGACGCCTGTGGAGGTACAATGACGGCGACCTCGGAAGGACAGGAATTCAACTCGACTAACTATCCCTACGACTATTCCAACAACGAGAATTGTGAGTGGATTTTCAATGCCGGGCCCGATGGGTGGCTGTATTTGGGGTTTGCCACTTTTGACATAGAGGATCATTCCTCGTGTAATTATGACTATGTCAAGGTCTTTGACGGCGATACCGAATTGGGGAAGTAAGTCTTTTATATTACTTTTTTCTTATTGCGTCATTAAACCGACCATTCAGGACATTAAACTAAGCCCAAAAAAGATACGAAATTGGCTCCTTATAATTTTATTGCATTATTTAGAGACAAACAAGTCAGCTCCGTAACATGAAATTGTTTAGAACGATTGTTTAGAATGTTTCTTAAGAAAAAATGAGGCAATTTTATGAATGGAATATTAGACCTCTTATCTTATACTGGCTTTTTTATTAATATCCCACAGCTCTTCTTTATATCAGTGAAAAACATCGAATCTTAGGTGTTAAACGCAAATATGCGCACTAGGCATGCACACAAACATACTTACAAAGTTTTAAGATGCCCAGACAAAATGTTGCAGGTCTACATTATAGTTGATAACATTTCGCCATCAGATTCTGCGGAAATACCAGACCAGCGGACTTCATCAGGAACACTGCTTCGTTGAGGGTGGAGTTTAGAACGGACAGCTCTATTGCAAAAGGTGGTTTCCGAGCAGGATTCGTCATGGGGCCAGCGCCAACAACAACGCCAGCGCCAGCAACAACGACAACAACCCCCAGTCCAAATGGCTGTGGCGGGACACTGACTGCGACGGCGACAGTTGGAATATTCCAGTCTCCAGATTACCCTTCAAATTACCCTCACAGTCAGAACTGTGAATGGACCATCAGCACTGAGCTGGATGACCCAATCACTTTGACTTTTGATGTTTTCTCTCTGGAATCCCATTCTTCGTGCAATTATGATGCTGTCGAAATATTTGAAGTTTCTGGTGGACAAGAGACTTCAAAGGGAAAGTAGGTTCACTTGGCGTATGCTTTTCTTTCTAATTCTTAAAAATAAAAAAAATCTGAAAAAGTAATTTAACTATGCTGCCTTTATAAATTGTTAACGTAGTTCTTGTCATAAATGCCTTTTGTCTCATTTCAGATATTGCGGAACCAATCGCCCAGATGAAATCATTCTCTATGATGGAAGTTTCAAAGTTGTTTTCACGTCAGACAGCTCTGTGTCCAATACAGGATTCAGTGCAAGTTTCGTCAGCAGGCCTATTACTTGTGAATCGCGTGGTGGCTCGTGCGTGGCGTCACTGGCAGACTGCGAAAGCGGAAGAGTAAATGATCTAGCTTCTTGCCCACAGTCAGCTGATGTCTGTTGTCTACCATCGATATGTGAGTAGCTGGTGTGTGTATGCGCGCGCGCGTTTGTTTGTGAATGTGTGTGTGTGTGTGTGTGTGTGTGTGTGTGAGAGAGAGAGAGAGAGAGAGACCAATAAACATATTTACTGAAAGATTTAATTGCCAAATTATGAAGTTGAACCAAACTTCTCTAGGAAAAGGTGTCAAGTGCATTTGCAAATTTGCAGACAATATTTATTTTCAAAATAAGTGATTTCCCTTGATATGATTTTACATGTTTTCGTTGATCACTGTCATCTAATTGCTATATATAGCCCCATCTAACTGTGGCCGGTTACCAGCGTCAACACGTATTGTTGGAGGGGATGATTCTGAGGAACATGCGTGGCCCTGGCAAGTCTCTCTTCAGACAACCTCGAGCAGTTTCCATTTCTGTGGTGGATCTTTGATTAATGCCCAGTGGGTTATAACAGCCGCACATTGCGTCGAAGGTGAACAGTACGTACAACTTTTACATCCTTTATATTATGAAAATTGTTTCACTGAAAATCTCTCTCTCTCTCTCTCTCTCTGATGACCCTAGCGGGATAAATTCTTCCCTTTCCATTTCTTCCAGAACCTCAGCTTTTAAGGTTGTTTTGGGTGAACATCACAGAGAACAGACTAGTGGTAATGAAGTGGAAAGGGGCGTGGCAAGGTTTATCATGGTAAGTGAAATACACGTCTATCGTCCGTAATGCAAACGTGCAAATACATGTATAAAATATACTTCACATCTAGACTATGCGGGTTCTTGTTTTGTGAAATAACTGTAACATTTCTACTAAAAAAATTCATTAGCATTTCAGTGTTATTAGTCTAAGGAGTTTCAAAGTGAGATTTTTGATCCATCCAGTTTCATACAATAGATAAAACGTAATTGAAATTGATTCCCACACTGGCTCTTACGTTGTCAAACGGAGGTCACATTGCTTCGACTTTTAAACAATACGTTTCAAAGCTTGAGAATCAATTTAGTCCCATCTTTATCCTGAGTGGATGTATTTAAATGCCCCAACTTGGAACGTAACGTTCTCAAAATGTAACAGCTTAAGTTTGCTGTAATTAATTTTGATATTTTGGAGCATTGGCTACGCAGCTATTAATGCAGTCAGCCCAAAGAATTCAGCGTTGGAGTTAAACTTCTATACAAATTGGTTACTCTCTCTCTCTCTCTCTCTCTCTCTCTCTCTCTCAATTGTACTGATTTGTCATTTTGCGCTCAGCATCCCCAGTACGATGGAAGCGGTGCTGGGTTTCCCAATGATATCGCTCTGGTGAAACTCGCCAGTCCCGTGAGTCTGGACGGACCCCATATGAGGGCGGCGTGTCTGCCGGAACCCGGCGAGGAATATTCTGCAAGTGACGAGTGCTGGATAACTGGATGGGGAGATACCAAGGGTATGTACCCCCCCCCCCTCATTCACACACACACACACACACACACACACACACATTCTTTTCAACCACTTTCAGCCATTAAGAACTTAAATAAGTTATTAAACTGTCACGTCCAAAGTCTCCAACTTTGAGTAAATAATTACTCCCCCTCATCGGTGAGCCTAGTATATTTGAATTTCAAAACTGAAAAAATGATTTAGTAATGCCTCATTTATTGTTACGTATATATTCTACGTCACTTAAATTAATTCTGAAAATAAAACTGTTGAAATGATATTATAAAAGGCCAAGGCTTTATTTTCTAGGCACTGGCAATGAGCAAATACTCCAGGAACTCAGAGTTGACATAAGAGACAGAGAAACCTGTCGCAGCAACTGGGGTTCAGGCTATATCCGTGACACTCACGTCTGTATTAATGATGGGACAACCGGTGCTTGTAACGTAAGCGTTTTACTTAATCCCAGAATCTGTTGCACACTGTTACATTTTTTATATTAAACTAGCAATCTCACTCTCACCCTTCAGTGAGTTCCTTATTTCATTTGGCTTTTCCTTAGGAAACCACAGGCATGATCTCTCTCTCTCTCTCTCTCTCTCTCTCTCTCTCTGTGTGTGTGTGTGTGCGCGCGCGCCAGCTGATGCATATTTGGAGCAAGCGTGTGTGTACATTCATCCTTTATCTTCCTGTCGAATGCCTCAATTACAGGGGGACAGCGGCGGTCCTTTGGTGTGTTTGGCTAGAAGTGGGTCTGGCCTATGGAATTTGGTGGGAGCAACATCTTGGGGTCGCACTGGTTGCCAAACGGCGGGGTATCCTAGCGTTTATACCCGCGTGTCTGAATTCCGCGACTGGATCGAGGAGCAGATTTTGGCAGACAATTAAGAAATTGCGTAAAACGCTACGCAAAGTTTGCATCAGCCTGATTAAATTTTTAAGTTGAATTGTTGATTTTGCAGTAGACTGTCAATACCAATATTGGTTTGTACTGTGATTTGTGCTTTTGCCTGTCAAAATAAAACTCGTTGCTAATCATCTTGATGTTATCATGAAAATAAGTGTATCACAGAACGAAGTAGAGGATACATAAACTAATAACAAATATTTAATTTTGAAGATACGTCCTTTTCTTTTAATTTAACTGCTTATCAGTGCAATTCGTGGACACCTAACTCTCTTGGAAGAGCATGTGAAGGTTTAAGAAGCAGCCAAAGAAATGAAAGGTGCAAAACATTCCTCAGTTCTTTTAACACAAGAGCCTACATGTTTTTTTGTTCATCTTTTAATAATTAACTTTTAGTCACCCAGCAAAAGAATTGATGAAACTAAAGTACCAACTTTAAACTTTCGGTAATTTATTCTTGTTCTTTTTTATACAGATACATAGATATAGATGTTGACAGTGCGATGGCATTTGACTGAACAAATGCACACATGTCAAACGTAGTGTATTAACTTCCGATACATGTCACTTACAACAAACTATCAGTAGTTTAGTTTATTTACACAAGTAACTTTACAAGCGTTTCTGTAATACAAAATCTAATTCATCCTAGTGCAAAAAGTTGAAAGTTATTTACACAAATACGAGTAAACTGCCCCCCCCCCCAAAAAAAAAAAAAATAGAAAAAGGAAAATCAAACTGAAATATATTTGCTTCTATAAGGTGTAAACTACAAATAAAAAAAGAAATCCCTGTATAAAAATATGATTCACATTTTGCATACAAATCACTTTATGGTCCCTTTTAATTTACGTATAAATGTATATTTCTCTTTAAGGACGCTATCATAATGTGTGCATAGTGATTATACATAACTGTTTTAATATAAACAAACTTCAATATATTTCATGTTTATAGAATTAGCAAACAGTAAATAACAAGAGCAATGTTACATGCACTAATTATTCTTCATCAGTAGAGATGGTATCTCCGTTTAAAATGTGTGCTGATAATATTGGACCCGTTCACAATAAATTTTGTCGACTTACATGTAAGTAATGCGCACTTGTCCACGGAGACCATCGCTGAATGCTATTAACATGGGTCTTCTCGTTACCAACCGTACCATAGTTTGGTATAGGGCCATTACTAACTACTCCTGCAATCCTATATTGTAAAATACTATAGTATCTCCGAAAGCGCATAACAAATGAGCACGTGTACTATATATACATATATCAAAATATGAAAACTGTTGTGGCTCTTTGCACAAGCTACTTCTCGTCTAGTCAAGCATTAGCCTATGTTTGAAGCTATCAATGTATTAGCATTACTAGAAAAGCACTCCGAGAGCGCAGACCTCCGCCAAGGCAGCGATTTTTTATTATTATTGAATATTGATTGATTATTGATCCGGTTCACCATCAAAAACTAATCATCTCTACCTTGGCTCACTTCTGACAGTTCCTGAAAATTTCATCAAAATCGGTCCTTAACTTTTTGAGTTATGTTGATGACAGACAGACAGGGGTGAAAACATAACCTCCTTGGCGGAGGTAATAAAGACATGTTCTTATAGTACATTAATTTCTCTAAAATTCAGTCGGATCTGTACAATAAGACTTGTGTGTTGTAAAAGCTATGCTTCTTCTCAAAAAGTGGATAACTAGGGAATGTATATACATTTTTGCCAAAACGCTGTGTTGTAAAAATTGCTCTTCTTTGCAGAAGTTGCCTCCATTTCAATCATAGATCAGTGTGCATTTGAAGCTTTCAGCCTATAAACATTATTAATCTTTTTCTAGAACACTGATTTCTACAAAATTAAGTGACATATGTACAGTACGTTTGTTTTTCAAATGGTCTGAATATGATTTGGCAATCTCAGTAGAAATTTTGAAAAATGAAGGTGTCAGTATTTACTCGTTTTGTGTATAGTAGTGGCTTATATTCTTTTCTTTTATGTTAATCTGAACTATATAGTTGTAAACCTAATGCTTTATAGGATCATTTTCCAAGAGTGTTCAAAAACCCCTCATTCTTAACCGCTTTATCTATTGGAACGAGAAATTCGTGAAAATGGGTGAAAATGCTTCAGTTTATTATTTCATAAGAACAATGTCTCTCCCAGCTCTCGGACCTCATACAGTGTCTTCTCGCTCAACCCTCTCATCTGGTCGTGGCGGAGATTTGGTGGGCACTTGTCTTCCCTCCAAAGCGGCGCAGGTGGCAGCACCAATGCAGCAGAGACCCCCTATGAAGGACAGTGTCCAAGAGTAGCCCACATAGAGGTTTTCTAAACTTGCTACCCAAATGATGTTGCCGATTAACATCCAAAGTCCTGAAAATAAGACAAGTGGTGATTTTACCTCCAGATTTTGTCTAAACCGACAGTAGATAGGGAAATTATAAATATGTCACATCAAAATGAATACTTATTGTGACGTATTTTCATGGTGTCTGACAGGGAAGATCATTCACGATCTCCTTCCTATTTCTATTTCACTTTTCTTTGATTCTTCCTGTAACCAATATATTGCAAAGGAAAAAAGTATTATCTCTGCATTTTAAAAAATGTAGGCCTATATCATATATAAACCCTCATAATTCCAGTGATTAAGTAAATTATTTTTCTAAAGGTTTCAAGGTATATTGCATAAAATTTTGATGGATAGTTTAGTGCCTTTCTAAGGAATACTCACCAGCGATGATCGATAAAACGAGGATAGTAATTGTCATGCACTTAGTTTTCTTACTATCCGAGCAGGTATATACACACTGCACTAGGAATCCTGCCAGCACAGTCAGCAAAGCAAGACTTTCACAGACAGCGGTCACAATAACGAATCCTGAAACAAAATATATATAAAAAAATATTTCACTGTTTCTGATTTTTGACTCATCCAAAATAAAAAAGATAAGACACGAGTATTTAGATACTAAAATTCCAATCAGATGGTCTAATTGCTTCACTGCACTACAATGAGGTAATTTAATTTGTACGTAAAAGCGACAGAAATATGCACTAGGTATTTTAAAAAAGATGGTGGTCCTAGGATTACCTCATTTGCGAGACTCTCTTAACTAAATTACTTTACAATCTCATTTACATAGTTTCAATAGGTATACAATGCCATTAGAATTTATACTATTTGTTTATAAGTCACAGGTGACTATAACTCGAGGTGTAATAAATACAGTGTTTTTGTATAGTACATATTTCAAATAATGGTATTTCTAGCACAATATCTTTAACCGAGGTAACATACAGATGTTGTCTCCCTTATAAAACTACCGATATTTTATCTTGGGTCCAATAACTTGTTTAAGGGCACTTGCTTAGATGCTGACCCTCCATCCTAACTACATTATCATGTACTTCATACAGGTACGAATATTAAACCCAGTGTGTCGTCAACAAGGACGCTACTTCTCCCCTTACCCGCGGGCACGGCTCTGTAGTTGCACCCTTTAAGTGAGCACCTCATCCAAAGACCCTCAGTCAACGACGCGTAGTAACTTCTCCTGTAGTTGATACCCGAAGTCCCCCACTCCGGCGTGGCAAAGCCAATAAGATGTAAACCCATCCCCAGGAACAACAGTCCCAAACCCGCCTTGGCAAGCCTACTGGACGCTAAAAGACCCATCCTGGTAGTATTCGGTACACCCTACCGGACCTCGCTCGTTCAAGAACTCGATCACTTCAATTCAACGAACTTAATACACTTCTTCGTGTCACATTTGAATATAACAGTCGTTCTTCCTCTGCACTAGACCTGTATGGCACGTTAAAGATGGCTGCGACCAGCAGAGTATAATAACGACTCTTTTCTACCTGTGGGTCACGTGACATCCACTTGCTATTAACTTTGCAATTTTAAACTGTGTTCCTTGTGAGCGGAAAAAAAATAATAAGTTGGTTGAAGTTTTAAGCAAAATGCAAAGGATATAGTAAATAATTTACATTGAGTTGAGATTGTGAAAACAGAAAATTGATTTAGAATGCATAATTGGGCTTTAGAGGCACTTTTTAAATAAAATAATTAAAAATGATATACAAGAGAAATATAAAATGTTACAAGCAACACACTTTTCTTTTCCTCTTCATTTTGCCATTTAACCCGGGTTTTAGCAGACATATATAGCTGAGATATTCAGTTTGAGTCATGCCAATGGAAGTCAGCCCAGGTGACACATTCCATAGTGTACAGGTAAGCGATCACGTGACTTAATGTGTAAATCATTGTGACCCAGTTGATGCAGAGCGGTTGTCGCCATTTTGAAATTTCACAGGTGTAGCCGTTTTAACTTGTGTGGGGAGAATTTCAATTTTTTTCTTCAATTTTACCATCATTTTAGTGATGGTAGGACGACGGTAACAGTTGAAAGAATCTAGTAATTAGAGGAAAGGTGAGAGAGTAAGGGGAAAGTGTTATGAGACGCTAGAAACTTGCATTTTTCCAACTTTAAGTCGAAGAAGGAGCCAAAGTAAGGACAATAATGGGGATTGGCGTAAGAAACTACTCAAACTGGATCAAGTTTGCGCTGTTTTTGATCGTACTCTGCTTCGTGCTTCACCTTGTGTCATTCGGAACCCCAAACTGGTCGGAGAAAGGTTGGTGGGACGCCGACACTCTTGACAGGTATTTCACATACGGACTGTGGCAGACGTGCTATGATGGCAGCTACAGTGACTGTTATTATCTGCGAGAACCTTCAGGTAAATATAGATAAGATTCAGTCAGTTTATATGTGGTGAATCATACAATATGTGGGCAAAGCAAAACTATTGCATATCTTACAAACATGCAATGAAAACACCAGTTTTAATTTTCTCACTGCAAGATAAATATATATGAAAATTATCGAAAACATTTCAGCTTCCAATGATATTTATAAAATAAAATAAATATAAAAGACAAAATAAAGTATAATTTGCTTAGAAGTCTCGTGAAATTAATATTTGGGAGCGAAAACGATGTTTATAAGGTATCAAAATTTAAATGGTTATACATTAAGTCGGCTTTTGATTTGGTTAAGTTCACTTCCTCATTCAGTTCAAATTTACATTATAAGTTCATGTCTAGTTAAGAGATTTGAAAACTTATGTGGAATTTTCTTATACTTACATTTTGTGATTCATTCTTTCCATTTAAGCGTCCAGCATCACAAGGGCTGTTGACTAGATTTATGCGACAATTTATATTATCTTTATTTATATGACCTTTACACTATGTACCAAATATCTTGAAAAATATTTTTGTTCTCCAAGAAATGCACATATATCTAAAAATTACAATGGGACCTTTGAATCTCTATTAAAAGTGTCCTAATTTTCTCATTGCAGATTGGCACTACAATGCGCGCGCTCTGGAGGTGGTCGGACTGATAGGTGTAATCATCTGTATTGTTATTTGTGCCACCTATATAGCCACGCCACGTTTAGGCAGGAATGCCCACTTGGTCCTCATCACCCTTATTGTTTTCTGTCTGCTCACCTGTAAGTATACTGTCGGGGTCAGGGTTTTGGCCTCGAAGGAGGGGGTGGGGGGGGGGGGCAAGGTTGAAGAAACCTACAGAGACTAAGATAAATAGTGGGCAGGTTTACTGTAGTTTAAAAGGGCTTAGAGTTGCTCTTGGTTATGCGTCGTTTATCTTGTAGTTTTGTATTTGGGAGATAGAAAGGGGTCCCGCCTACACTAGTATGCTACCCCCCCACCCCCACCCCCCCCCCCCCCCCCCCCCGCCACTGAAGTCTATGGTTTGACTTGATATATACTGGATAATTGAAAGATAAATGCAGGCCATCCAATACGTATTATTATTTATTAATTTTGGTGGTTGTTAAATCGCGCAAAGTGAAAATTCCAATTATGTAACTGTGATATTGGCAAAGAAAATGTCTAAATTAAATGTTTACTAGTGCTTTTATCCACTCTCATACTTTGAAATATCGCAGACTGTGTAAAATTGTGAAGGCATCACTCACTCATACTTATTACGTTTTTTTTTAGTTTCATGTTTTCTTTATTGCTATGAAAATCTTTTTTTATCTCTTTTACATGGATTTTTGGTACATTATCCTCACTTTATCATATTTTGTATATTAATTTTCCAGCCATTTTCATCCTGTCCGGAGTCATCCTATGGTGGGCCAACACTCCCAACGTGAAAGCAGGCTATTCCGCCATCTTTGCATTTTTGGCAGGAATCTCCATGATGTTCTGTGGTTTTGCCGTCTTTATGGAAACGCGTTTCTTAGAAGAGGAGGCAGAGTCGGCCCACATCCAACAGCAGATGATTCAACGCTACTAAAATCGTTTTTAAGACCTACTAAGGTTTCTATTTGAATGAAACTTTGGCTATGAAGTATATTAGTTCATTCCTTGTAGCACCCACATTTCTTCGTAATCTTGTTTGAGTCACCCGCTGGTGAATTAGTGAACTGGAATAATGCTGTTTTTTCTTTCGTGGAACTGGAAACCATGCTTCGATTTTCTGCGGTTGGAAATGTGGTGTTTCTTGAATGAAAATCTTCAGATAATGGCCAAAAAATAAAACTGACTGCATTTGTAAAATAGACAGAAAAGCAAAAAGACATTCCCTTGTACAGCTATGTAAATACGTTTGCATTTTTTCTCTTTTGATACGGCAGATCCTAGTGTAGACAATAAAGTGTAGAAAATGATATCTGATTTAAATGACATTTTAGCAGAATTTATATATGTGCGTCACCAACGAATGTAGCTTGGATGCCGTATAACGGACTAGCTCTGAGTAACTGAAATGGGTTAGCTGACTAATTTGATGACAAGATTTTGTACAGAAAATAAGGAAATAAAAGTTATCAAATAAACAAGTGTTTAGCAATGATTATAATCAAATGTGAACAATAACGGATCTTCAAACCATGACTTCTTTCAGCAATTCTATCTTTTTCTCAAAATTTTCATGGTCAGCGGGTTCTCCCAAATATACATGTATAACCACCGTTAAGTTACTAGCGTAACTACCTTGCGTTGTGTTAAAGTCGGTATCTCATCACAACTGCTGCAGTTATGATCACACTCGGCACCGCTGCTTTGCAAGTACCTCTGCATTGTGTTAATGGTTGTTATTGTAATAAATAATTAATTGGTAGATAATTTGTAACTGTCGAGGGCGCGATGCATAAAAAAAATAACATACATGTACATTTATTCGCAGAATCCCTTATTTTCGATAGATATGAATAAGAATATATTAAAAGGTATACACATTCCACTTCAAGCGGGAATGTTATCTATTTTTTTAAAAATTCAGTTGGATAGAGTTACTTCAATTCTATTCTTTTCCCGGGTGTTTTTTTCAAACATTTTTTATTCAGCAAGCTAGTGGGGAAAATTTAAGACGGTACAAGAGACTGACTACACATACATTGACAAACAATGAGCCTAGATAGTATCTTTGTTTATTTGTTTCTTTATTTAACGTAGCTTTAAAGTGGTACCCTTAAGCAATATGAATATACTTAGTATGTTGAGTAAGTGTTGAAGGTGAATACAGATTTAAGACAAGTAAATAATTACTAGAATAATTTGGGGGATATTTTGCTTTGCGTATAACGAAACTTTTAAGACAGGCTAAATAATAACATTATTTCAAGAGTGGTGCAGCATGTTTTCGAGTCGTAAAAGCTACTTGATATGAATAAAGATATCCAATGCTATAAAAATCCTGCAAACTGTCTCATCATCCAAAGAACATTTATAAGTGGTATTACTTAATGTGATCTTTTGAACCCAGTACTTTGATTGCAAAAAGATTATACCCTTATAGTCCTTGTTTTATCTTTTCTCATCATCGTCTCCTCAAGGAGAAACAGTAGTGCATGTCAAACACATAGCAAATATGACAGTGTTGGTTGACCTGTGAACGATTCTCAATATAAAATGGACAAAAATAAATAAATAAACAGACTTCAATTTGCTGTCAGAACACCGCCGGACCAGGTCTCGACCAAAAAAAAATTGAGAATTTGTCGCAATGACCTGGTCTCAGAACGGAAGTTACCTAAGATCAAGGTAAATGGAGAACTGGAGAATACCAGACGTGATGAATCGGCTGCGACAGTTATGATAGANATATACATGTATATGAAAATTATCGAAAACATTTCAGCTTCCAATGATATTTATAAAATAAAATAAATATAAAAGACAAAATAAAGTATAATTTGCTTAGAAGTCTCGTGAAATTAATATTTGGGAGCGAAAACGATGTTTATAAGGCATCAAAATTTAAATGGTTATACATTAAGTCGGCTTTTGATTTGGTTAAGTTCACTTCCTCATTCAGTTCAAATTTACATTATAAGTTCATGTCTAGTTAAGAGATTTGAAAACTTATGTGGAATTTTCTTATACTTACGTTTTGTGATTCATTCTTTCCATTTAAGCGTCCAATATCACAAGGGCTGTTGACTAGATTTATGTGACAATTTATATTATCTTTATTTATATGACCTGTACATTATGTAACAAATATCTTGAAAAATATTTTTGTTCTCCAAGAATGTCTATACTCGTAAATGCACATATATCTAAAAATTACAATGGGACCTTTGAATCTCTATTAAAAGTGTCCTAATTTTCTCATTACAGATTGGCACTACAATGCGCGCGCTCTGGAGGTGGTCGGACTGATAGGTGTAATCATCTGTATTGTTATTTGTGCCACCTATATAGCCACGCCACGCTTTGGCAGGAATGCCCACTTGGTCCTCATCACCCTTATTGTTTTCTGTCTGCTCACCTGTAAGTATACTGTCGGGGTCAGGGTTTTGCCCTCGAAGGAGGGGGTGGGGTGGGGGGCAAGGTTGAAGAAACCTACAGAGACTTAGATAAATAGTGGGCAGGTTTACTGTAGTTTAAAGGGCTTAGAGTTGCTCTTGGTAATTCGTCGTTTATCTTGTAGTTTTGTATTCGCCTCTAAAATGCGCCACTGAAGTGTATGGTTTGACTTGATATATACTGGATAATTGAAAGATAAATGCAGGCCACATAAAACTTATTTTTATTTATTAATTTTGGTGGTTGTTAAATCGCGCAAAGTGAAAATTACAATTATGTAACTGTGATATTGGCAAAGAAAATGTCTAAATTAAATGTTTACTAGTGCTTTTTTCTCACTCTCATACTTTGAAATATCGCAGACTGTGTAAAATTGTGAAGGCATCACTCAAAACCCTTATACTTATTACGTTTTTTCTTTAGTTTCATGTTTTCTTTATTGCTATGAAAATCTTTTTATCTCTTTTACATGGCTTTTTGGTATATTATCATTACTTTATCATATTTTGTATATTAATTTTCCAGCCATTTTCATCCTGTCCGGAGTCATCCTATGGTGGGCCAACACTCCCAACGTGAAAGCAGGCTATTCCGCCATCTTCGCATTTTTGGCAGGAATCTCGATGATGTTCTGTGGTTTTGCCGTCTTTATGGAAACGCGTTTCTTAGAAGAGGAGGCAGAGTCGGCCCACATCCAACAGCAGATGATTCAACGCTACTAAAATCGTTTTTAAGACCTACTAAGGTTTCTATTTGAATGAAACTTTGGCTATGAAGTATATTAGTTCATTCCTTGTAGCACCCACATTTCTTCGTAATCTTGTTTGAGTCACCCGCTGGTGAATTAGTGAACTGGAATAATGCTGTTTTTTCTTTCGTGGAACTGGAAACCATGCTTCGATTTTCTGCGGTTGGAAAATGTGGTGTTTCTTGAATGAAAATCTTCAGATAATGGCCAAAAAATAAAACTGACTGCATTTGTAAAATAGACAGAAAAGCAAAAAGACATTCCCTTGTACAGCTATGTAAATACGTTTGCATTTTTTCTCTTTTGATACGGCAGATCCTAGTGTAGACAATAAAGTGTAGAAAATGATATCTGATTTAAATGACATTTTAGCAGAATTTATATATGTGCGTCACCAACGAATGTAGCTTGGATGCCGTATAACGGACTAGCTCTGAGTAACTGAAATGGGTTAGTTGACTAATTTGATGACAAGATTTTGTACAGAAAATAAGGAAATAAAAGTTATCAAATAAACAAGTGTTTAGCAATGATTATAATCAAATGTGAACAATAACGGATCTTCAAACCATGACTTCTTTCAGCAATTCTATCTTTTTCTCAAAATTTTCATGGTCAGCGGGTTCTCCCAAATATATAACCACCGTTAAGTTACTAGCGTAACTACCTTGCATTGTGTTAAAGTCGGTATCTCATCACAACTGCTGCAGTTATGATCACACTCGGCACCGCTGCTTTGCAAGTACCTCTGCATTGTGTTAATGGTTGTTATTGTAATAAATAATTAATTGGTAGATAATTTGTAACTGTCAAGGGCGCGATGCATGAAAAAAATAACATACATGTACATTTATTCGCAGAATCCCTTATTTTCGATAGATATGAATAAGAATATATTAAAAGGTATACACATTCCACTTCAAGCGGGAATGTGTATACCTTTTTAAAAATTCAGTTGGATAGAGTTACTTCAATTCTATTCTTTTCCCAGGTGTTTTTTTCAAACATTTTTTATTCAGCAAGCTAGTGGGGAAAATTTAAGACGGTACAAGAGACTTACTACACATACATTGACAAACAATGAGCCTAGATAGTATCTTTGTTTATTTGTTTCTTTATTTAACGTAGCTTTAAAGTGGTACCCTTAAGCAATATGAATATACTAAGTATGTTGAGTAAGTGTTGAAGGTGAATACAGATTTAAGACAAGTAAATAATTACTAGAATAATTTGGGGGATATTTTGCTTTGCGTATAACGAAACTTTTAAGACAGGCTAAATAATAACATTATTTCAAGAGTGGTGCAGCATGTTTTCGAGTCGTAAAAGCTACTTGATATGAATAAAGATATCCAATGCTATAAAAATCCTGCAAACTGTCTCATCATCCAAAGAACATTTATTAGTGGTATTACTTAATGTGATCTTTTGAACCCAGTACTTTGATTGCAAAAAGATTATACCCTTATAGTCCTTGTTTTATCTTTTCTCATCATCGTCTCCTCAAGGAGAAACAGTAGTGCATGTCAAACACATAGCAAATATGACAGTGTTGGTTGACCTGTGAACGATTCTCAATATAAAATGGTCAAAAAAAAAAAAAAAATAAATAAATAAAACAGACTTCAATTTGCTGTCAGAACACCGCCGGACCAGGTCTCGACCAAAAAAAAAAAAAATTGAGAATTTGTCGCAATGACCTGGTCTCAGAACGGAAGTTACCTAAGATCAAGGTAAATGGAGAACTGGAGAATACCAGACGTGATGAATCGGCTGCGACAGTTATGATACTTGATAATAATGATCAAAACATTATCCAATATGTATATACTAAAACTCCATTTACCCTTTTATCACATGGTTTTGCATAACAAAAAGTACATTACAATATCATCAGCAATTAACACTCTAGCCAATCAATACTGGGTAATTTCCGTTAATTATTGTTATGTAATGTACATTTGGCAACTAAATACTTCAATAAGCTGATCTATTTACAGTGTTATAGAAAGGTAGAATCTATATATTTACAATACAAAGTTTTCATTGAGTGGAATTTGACGTGGATGTTGATTCACGTTGTCAAAATACACAAACAAACCCTGGAGAAATGGACTCCTTGGTCCAGTGGAATGAACCCTGCTATAATCATTACCAATAAACAAAACAACCTGCTCATTTGGTCTGATCTCAAGTGATTTGATGGCTTG